CAGTTGCATGGAGGGCCATTGTCTTTAAAGAAAATCTGGACGTGATTACCAACCTCCATCTCTGAGTGAAGGTTTTAATGTAAAGTGCGAGGTTGCTGTAATTTAATTTTGGCCTGCTGCTCTGACACACTCCCCTTTGCCACTGCTTCATGGAATCCAAGCTATTAATGGCTGCAAACCAAAACACACATGGAGACAAAGGCGAATACTCACGGTCATACAATAGCAGAGGTTTCACCTGACTTGGCCATTCTTTTCTGCTACTATTCTTATAACAAGATCCTATTTCTTTAAGCCAATCTTCCTGCCATAGTAATAAGCCAAGCCAAAGTTAAAAATTAAAGTTGTTATGACCTCTATGCCTAAATGAAGTTTTCATATAGGATAGGGCTGAAAATATCTGCATATAGAACTCATGGCTTTCTACTAGACTATCAAAATTATGGGGGGGAAACTTTGTGCTTCCTCATCTCCCACCCGTAGCAAGATGATTTTCATCCACTCTGTTCCACTGAACTGCTTTTCCCTTGAAACAAAATCAAATTGATTCTTTGCAGTCCTTATCTTCTCAGCAGTATTTTATGCTGAATTCTTCCTCCTTCATAAAACAGTCTCATCTCTTAGATTTGGGTTCCCTTGTCTTGCATCCTTTCTTCTTTTTATCCTAGGCCACCTTCTCTTCTCACTTTAATGTGGCCCTTCCAGGTAGGACCTTATCCTTTTTTCATACCTGTAATTACTTTTCATTTCCATGTATTGACTCCCAAATCTTTATCTCTACGCCCCTGCCCCAGGCCTCTTAATAAATTTGGCTGTTCCAGCAATATTTTGAACACCATATAACTCACACTGAATGCATCATCTTTTGTTGGGTTTTCCAGTTGCATAAATGATCAATCATCTGTTACATATGCAAGAACCAGGATCTTATCTTTTGATCTTTTCCTTCTTTCACCTCCACACCCAATCAGTTATCAAGTTCTCCTAATCTACTTCTTAATCTTTCAATCTAGCCATCCCCTAATCTCCATCATTTTCAATGTCTCTACAGAATTCTTCCTAATCATTCTCCCTGACTCCAGGCTTGTCCCTGCCCCCACAATAGAAAATCTCTATTCTACAACCAATCTTATCTCCTGTTCATATCACTTCTGTTTAAAAGATTTCAAAGTCTTCACACCGAGACATTATTTACCTCTTTTTTTTTTTTTAAAGATTTTTTTATTGGGGAATTGGGGGGATGGGAACAGTGCTGGGGGATTGGGGAAGGGGAACAGACAAGTTGCTGTCGTTTTTTGTTCTTCAGTCTAGTTGTGGAGGACGTTGCTTCACTTGCCCAAGTTGGCACCATCACTGCGCTCTTCCAGGGCGAGGCGGATCAGTCGCCGGCTTCTGGACGGCCGCTCACTGCGGCTGCTGGCCGCTCACGCTGGCTGCTGGCCGCTCACGCTGGCTGCTGGCTACACACGGTAGCCCATGGCAACCCACTGCCACAGGGACTGCAGCCTACGCCGTCGCCAGCGACTCACGGCAGCCCAGCTCCAGGTTGAGCTGTTGTTCAGCATCTTAGCTGTGGAGGGCAGTGTTCACTGGCCCTCATATGTGGGATCCGAACCGGGGCCCTCTGGCATCCCAAGCGAGTTCTTAACCATCGCGCCACTCGGCCGGCCCCATTATTTACCTCTTTAGCATCAAGTTTTACATTGTTTTGTTTCTTGCCCTTCCCCAATAGCATATCTGTTGGTCCACAGCCACTAACTCAAGGATTTAAATAGAAAGACATAGGTGATGGCAGAGACTCATAGTTTGGAACCAAGCCAGAGGAAGATACCTATTAGACACTTGACTGCAATCATTAGGCTCCACGCCTGCAGTTATGGCCTAAGCTTCTGCAAGTGTGTTAGACAAAGAGAAAATCCACAGAATAACAAAGTGGGATTTATGGAAGTCTTTAAAAGAGGAAATGACATGTCATTTCTTGCTTTATCAAAAGGCCTATATTTCTGAGAGAATTTGGGGAGTCAAAACATCAATTCTGTTTATAACAGTCAGTGCTCTTGGTTGAAATTAATTCAAGCAGAGTTATTCAAGGGACAGTGTATTATATACAAACCATTTAACTTGAGCTTTAAAACGATTTTTCATGAGAATTATCAAGAAGATACCAGTTTTGATCAACACTTTCCATAAACTAGAATAAAACCTGTGGTTTTAAAGGCTTTTATTTTAAATGCAAACATTTGTGAGACTCTTAAAGGCACAGTATCTGATCTATTCCTACTCAAAAATTGTGTGACTATCATTACTGTTTTTCAGGAGAGTTTTATTTTACCTCCATTGTCCCCAAACATCCTACCCTTTAAAAAACGAACTAAAGTATATAATTCTTACATTCCTATTTCCAGAAAGGCTGAAATGAAGACGGTAGTGCTACAGCTGCCTCAGTTGCCTCACTCTCCTCAGAATATGTAGCCGTAAGCTAAGAATTAGGTGTGTTCAACTGAAATCAGCAGCTGATGCTCCTCCCAGGGTATCTGGAGGAAAGATGTCTGTTGCTTCCCTACCTTTCCTCCCACCAGCTCTTCCATCTTTCAGATTATGCATTTCCCTGGCCTGAGAAACGTCAAGCGTTTATGGTTTGGCAACTCAACACCGTCTGAGTGTTCCGCGGAGAGTGCGAGAGGCAGATAAAAGGAAAGCATGCACACTTCTCCATCCTTCTCCCGATCTCTCAAGGTTATAGTGTGGAAGGAGCCTGAGGCTACCTCCAAAGAGACCAGGTTGCTGGTCTTTTAATATGTGATGAGATATTGGGCAGGAGTGGGCGGGGCATTTTGCGGTCCACAGATACATTCACTCTCATTAGGAGAAGAGGAAACTTAGCTCAAGGAGCCCAAGTAAGAACCACCAAGTACATATCTCTAGCTCACTCTCCCTTATTCTGTCAGGAGCCTCCTGGCATGAAAGCATGGCTTCTAGCTTTCTTGAAAACGAAGTGAATGTGAAGAAAGAGAGAATGTCTCACCCTGTCTATACTTGGGAAGGTACATGGGTGTAGCTGCTCCCAAGACTTCAAAGTGGCTAATTAAACACATTAAATATCTTTGCTCTTGATTTATTTTACCTAAAACGACTCTTCAGAGTAACAAGGTGATTTTTACCAAGTTCCCTTAATCAACATTCTCCAGATTCAATCGGCCTTAAAATATATTTCATAGGATTTAGCATACTTTACACCTACCTGAAATAACCCTAAGTTTTTAACTATAGTTATGGCTGTCTGGCCTCTTGACCTGACAGACGAGCACTAGCAGCCCAGCTCCCTGACACGTGCAAGTCTGAATAAGGCAGGTGGGGGATGAAGCACCACTAATCCAAGTCCTCATTATGGCCACGTCCACAAGAATCGCAGGATAGCAAAGCCTGAAAAACATATAGGCTTTTTCTCTCTCTTTGGTAATGTGCAAAACCATGTTTATTTGTTAATCTGTTCTCCAACCCCCACCCCCACCCAAAAAGTGATGTCTCCACAGATAAGATTTGGCTGCGTTTTTGTTTTTCATGCCGAGCCTCAGGGTGAATTATCTGGCCACAGCAAAAGGCCAGGGGGCTTTCGGGATGCTTGGGATGATATAGAGAAGGCAATATGGCATCAGCTGGGAAAACTGCAGCCGACATTGGAATAATCAAAAGTGACCTACATGCAATAATAGCCTGTGCGACAGTGAAGAGGGGACACCAGGAAGCAGGTGGTCTATATGACAGAGGATCAATACTCCCGGAGAGGGGATAAAATAGATTCCAAATGGAAAATAAACTGGTGGAGAATACTTACAAGGAAACAAGAGAAGGGGAGGGGAGATAAGGCGAACCTGCAGGGAACAGCACAACAAAGAGAATGTGAGGGTGTGTGCGGGGGCCCACAGCTGATGTCATGATGAAAACTGGCTGCTCAAGAGTGCGGGAGAACAGTCGACAGGAAATTGCCTGCACCGCAAAGAAAGGGGGGCAACACGTGCACGCAGGAGCTTGAGCTACGCACATCGGCCAGAATCATCTCTATTCCAATTTAACATGCTTTAAAAAAATGTCATTGTTTGTAAGAAGTGTTGACAGCCCCAAAACCTTGGTTTTGTTTCGTGAGGCCTCGTTTTAGTAAGAAAACAAGGACAACACATCTTTCATTTCTTTTAAAAATATATTTCAATGAAAAGGGAGAGGGAGAGAGGTAAACCTAATTTGCATGATTTAGTTCAAAATAAATGTTGCTTTGACGCCACCGTGTATATCTGCCGTGCTTCCTTGCTCCCTTGGGAGCTGGTGTGTGTTAACATTCCATTCCTCTTTTTCATTACTGCTATCACATATATTAAAACAGGCGCGCACGCGCGCACGCGCGTACACACACACACACACACACACACACACACACACACACACCCTCACAGCCACCTCCACTATGAGAACGTTCCCCAGAATTTAATGCCAAACAGGAAGAAAACTAAATTCTCTGACAAATGTCAATAAGATTTCATTACATTAAGAAAAAAGAAAGAAAGAAAGAAAGAAAAGACGGCATTGGAATCTTGTGACGCTGCGTTCTTCTGTGCAGCCAGGGAGTCACACCCTTCAGTGGTCAGGCCTGGAGAATATTTCAGATCTCATCTCAGCATTGGAACATTGCATTATCTACAGCACCATCTTGATTTCTTCCTTTTATTGCTTATAACTGACACTTGCGATGTGTTGTTGCCCCCAAGCCAGGGGTGTAGTGTGGCATTTCATTTCCCACTGCTTGCTCAGGCACAAGGGAGAATTTTCTGAAAGCCTATGTGGAAATCCGAAGTCAAGGACTGTGCTCTTGCTAAAGAAGCAGCTCTAAAAACCGCTCGCTATTCCTGCAATGCAGCAGATGTGTGGGCTGCTGCCAAGCTCCGACTAGCTCTCAAAAATGCTGACACAGTGGCTAAGCCTCTGCAAGGAACCAAAGTAGTGTTTACACAGAGCTGTCAGGGTGCCTGACATGCCCTCCTAGGCAAGCCCTTCAAGCATACCTTTTCATTCCCGCATCTCCACGCTGCTGAGAAAGGGCTTGCTTTCCGCACCTCTCTGCTTCCCCCACCTCGACTGTGAGTTCCATGAGGGCAGGTCTGTGTGGTCCTGTCACAGCAGCACAGAGCCTGGCATACGGTAGGAATTCTACGATTCCTGGCTGGATGGATACATGGAATGAATAATCTTGAAGAAGGTCTCCTGAAAGCCGAATCACTTCCTGAATCTGGCAGGTAACCCTTTGTCCCTAAAGGAAGATATGTAATTGAGAATCACAGGCTTCCCTTCTGCCTAGAACAGAGGAAAAGCCAAATGTGCCCCTGAGGCTGATGGCCGTCTCCTTTCCCATTCTGTGGTCTGCTTGGGTCACTCAGCCTGTCTTTTTCAGAACAGCCCTCGCTTATATGCAGCCCTGTGCTGGTCTTTGTTTTTCTGACTGGAATTCCTTTGTCTTAAAGATGAATTTCAGCAGGGACCTGAGCCACTAGCGTGTCTCTAACTCAGCCAGGGAATGTGATGTTGCTGACCAAGTCAAAATCGGGAGCTTTGTCCTCTGGATGCTGATTTGAATTTGGGATGTGTCATAAAAAGTAGACATGCTACCTGGATTATTACAGTTCCCCCTCAACTTGAGCTCCAGCTCCAAGTCTAGTGCGGAGCTAACCTCCATGCCTGATACAGAAGGCCTGGGGAGACCGTGGCTTTTCCTGCTATTGCCTGCTTCCTGAGTGTTCAGCCCAGGCGGCCAAGCCACACTGTTGCAAGGTGGCGAGGCGTGATTCATGGCTGTGTGCGTTTTAGCGAGCAGCGCTTTCGCTGTAGCCTGCACATCTTCTGTATCCTTAGAAAAGCCCACATTTTATCAAGACTTTCCCTTAGGAAGATTACAAACCACTTTATGCACAATCATCTCTTCATCTGGCCCCTTCGCTTGGGAAGCGAAGACTACAGGGAGCCTCAGATAAAGAGGCTGTAATAACTCTAACTAAAATTTGGCTGGGATGTGGAGGGTTACTCTGTCCTCCCACGGAACATGCCATATGCTCTCCTGTAAGCACAAGTGACTGAATCCTCGAATTTATTCTTTATCTGAAAGATAGTTAAAATGAGTTGTCAAACACTTCCAGTTCAGTACCATATTCAAGGCTCTTTTTTTTTTTCAAATGGCTCTTTCAGTAATGAGGACATTCTTACATATAGAAACAGAGCTTTAGTCTGTTTACCTATTCAATTATTTTCAAATTTAACTGTCACACCAATCAAGGTACATACGTAATATAGAAATGCCTTCTATATTATGAAACAATGTGTTTAATCTCCAGCACATATAAATGTGAGTTTGGGGCAGGTGGACGCTGATAGCATCCCTCCCCACAATGCGCAAACATACATGCATATATATGTACACACAAACATACATGCATATATATGTACACACATGTATGAACACATATGCATACACACACACACTTTTATCTTTCTGAGAATTGCTGCAAACTATTTTTATGCCACAGGCTACAGGATATATGAAAGTGAGAATTAAAGTCCTCTGTGGTTTAATAATGAGTTAAACGAAAAAAGTCAAGAGTTTCCCTAATTGCTCAAACCCCAGCCTCTATTTGTTCATCCTATATGGGTTTTAAACGACCTCACTTCCTAAAGACTTAATTATGTAATCTCATTCTCTGTGAACCACCTGTGAGGACCTCGCTGTGGGGACTCGAAGACTTTGTGAAAAGTGTCAAACGTGTTCTATAAGAAAAGCTATTTTGTATTACTTTTTGAGGCTATCAAAGATAGAAAGGAGTGCTTTTCTGTGTCGTTCTAATGTATGACCCTCGGGATAATTCAATCAGTCAAATAAGGGAGTTTGTCCAACTTAATTTCTGTGCATGCTTATGGTTGCTTGAACCCATCCACCTGCTGCTATATACAAATGGCAACTTGGGGAATGTTTTTCTGCTCATTAATTCATCAAATTCCAACCTGATTCCTGAAAAAATAAATATCCTAAGGAAAATTTTTGGAAAATGTCTGCGTAGCTCTTCTTTTTGAATAGAGAACAACAAAAGATTTAGCATGAATACGGGACTTGTACAATGAAATTGTGGCTTTATAAGGAGTTATTCACAATTGAGGAACAAAACTCATCTCCGGTGAAATCTATTCTTTAGAAAAGTGGATAATTTCATTGATCCTCCAAACTCAAATTTTATGAAAATATTCAGGTACTTTGTCTAGCCACCTGGATCAGCTGCTGGATTCTGTTAAATGTATTTTTCTTCACTCCTAAAACATCATTTCTTTTCCTCATTTAGATCTTTAAATGGAAAAAGAAACAAACAAAAATAAAAGTTACTAAAAAGGGAACATATCATTCCCTAAACAGTAATGGTTGTGGAAAGCAGCCTTTCCTCTCTACTAACAAGTTTAAGATAGTTTCCCTTGAAAGCGGCAAAATAATTTGTATTCTCAAAATTATTAAAGTGATTTTGTGTTCTCAGAAGTATCAAACAATTCATAGGAAAAAGCAGAACTACTAGCCTATTATTAATGACATCTTAAAAAGTGAAGTAGAGAAAAACTGAGGAGAGACGTTTTCTAAAAATGCCAGCGTAAGAGACGTAGAAGACTCAAAATGATCTGTCAATCTTCGAGTGAAATTTCTGAAATAATAATTTAGCAACCCTGATCTCTAGAGTTTTGCCTTTTTATGTTAAATGTATTGTCTCTACTTTCATTTAATCTCCCTTTTTCATAAGATTTAAAATACATTTTCTGATATAACTACTGAATTAGACATTTCAGTAGTAGATGACATTTGTTTGATTAATGTCTCTCCAAAGCAAGGACTCTATGACCTCTGCATGTTTCTGTCAGGTGTCATTTAGGCTACATTTAAATTTGGGCTGTAAGCAAGGAAAGATTGGATAAAAGCCCGATTTCACTGTGGTGACTTTCCCATTTGCAGATAATTAGCGTGAAATAATTTTTCATATATATAGGATGCCACAATAAAAAGAGGAAAGAAGGAGCAGTGTCAACTCAGAGTATATTTTATTTCAAAAATAAAATAAATTTGAAATAAGCTCCCCAAGACTTGTAAATAGCTTTCACTCACCTATTTTGCATCTATTTACTTGCATTAATTTACCATCTTTTGATTACTATGTGACCCAAAGTAAACCAATTTAGATTGTTGTTGGGGAAGGTTGAGTGGATAATATAGATTGCCACACATATTATTATTTCCCTAACATAAAGCAGTTGACCCTTGGTATCCCTGGGTTTTACATCCACAGAGTCAACCAACCAGAGATCAAAAATAGTATTTTCTATCTGCGGTTGGGAATCTGCAGATATGGAGGACTGACTGTATGTATTGTTCTACAGCATTTTATACAAGGTATTTTGCGCATCCCAGGTTTCAGTTTCCACTAGATGTCCTGGAACCAGTACCCTGCGGACACTGAGGGGGTGGCTGACGTTTGTGGAAAGTCAAAAATTATATGCAAATTTTCAACTGCGTGGGGTGTTAGCAACCCTAACCCCCCACATTGTTCAGGAGTCAACTGTATTTTTAATCACCAGCTAATTGAAATGGTTATAGTTAAGATTGTAGTTATAACCTATCCTTTACCTATTAGGAATGTATTCACGTAGCTATAAGTAACGAAGTACGAAATGATAATATCTTAACAAAATAGGTGTTGGTCCCCCCTCTCTCTCTCTCACACACACACACACACAAACAAGTCAAAAGGCAGCCTGCCTCTGGTGTGTGTTCAACAGCTCTTTGATGTCAGGCCAGGCATTCCTGGCTTTTCTCTTATATTCACAAGATGGCCACACAGCTCCAGGTACTACATCTGCATTCAAAACAGGGAAAGAGGTGAAAAGTAGTGCCAACCATGTCTGTTCTTTTTCATAAAAAGGGAAAATGCAGAAACAATCTTAAAAGACTTCTCCTTAGATTCCTTTGGCAGAACGGAGTCTCCTGGCCACTCTTTATGCTGTAGAGACTGGGAAAGCAGGAAGAATAAGTGTTGTGATTGGCTTTGACTAATTACAGTCTGTATCAGATCCAGGGTGGTGAAATGCATTCCGAACAAATGCATTGCCGTTCTGTTAGGAAAGAAGGAAAGAAGGAAGGAAGGGAGGAAGGGAGGGAGGGAGGGAGGGAGGAAGGAAGGAAGAATGCATGGCGTTCACATTATCTGCCCTACATCCATAAATAGAGATCAGTGGTTTTCTGGCTGATTTTCCAAAATATGCAACCTGGTATGTGGACTTCCAACTTCAAACTCAAAGTGCTTGTCACACTGACATGAGTCAAGCACATCATCTTGGTATGTAAAGAAGCACACTTCCTACTGATTTCCACAGGATTCTTAGCACCTATCATCAGAACTGATGTTATATGATAGCAGAACTTAACTGAAGTACAAATAAAATGTTTTTATTTTTCCTACTGTCATTTGAAAACGGCCTCATGTGGACCTATCTGTGTTCTCAGGTTCCAGCTTCTTCACATTTTCTCTCTAACGTAATACAGAGCAGGTTGCTTGGTTTGATGCAAGTGCCCAATGGTTATTAATCGACTTGACAGAGCTTAATGGAAAGTTCGCAGACTTTGGCATAACACAGACCTGGGCTTGCGTCCAAGTTTCTTCTCTTACTTGCTGCCTGGTCTCTGATAAGTTTACCTTCTTTCTACCTCATTTTCCTCATCTGCACATGAGCATAACGATCCCTAACTCACAAACAGCCATGAGGATGGAATAAGTTATACAGACAAACGTTCAGAGCACATGTCGCTCTCTCTCCCTCAAAAGTGGAGTCTATCTTGACGAACAACCCAGCATGAAGGAGAACCACTGCCCCACTTAGGATTTTAGTATTGGTTTTAAATCTGTGCTTAAGTGTGCAGACAAAACCTTTCATTTCCTATGTACATTACAACAGCTCTTTTAGTTTACTGAGAAAAAAGGATTGATTCACATCCTTCCAAGTTCATATCCACAGTCCTAAATAGGAGAAAACAGACTTGACAGTTGGTGGGATTTGGAGTCTGGAGGCCTGTGGAAACAGGTCTCCACGTTGCTGGGGATGTGGAGGGGAACCAAGTTACTGGAAGGGGGAAGGTGAGCAGATTCTGAAGTTGGCGTCATCTTTCAAGGCTTGCTTAACATCTCTTTTCTGACATCTTCAGCCCCATTAAAATAGTTGATCTTTCCCTTTTATAACCTCTTTCTTCCTCTGAGCTTATTTTATATCCAATCTAACTTATCAGTTGTATAATTATTTCATACCTATTGTCTGCTTTCTCAACTGCAAAATATAGAAAAATAATAATATTTTATGTGAAACTATGTGGGGATTAAATGAGATCTTGCAAAATACTTGATTCATTTTCTATCCTTCGAATATGTGCATTGTGTGTGTGTGTGTGTGTGTGTGTGTGTTTTCTGACAACCTACTCATCAGAACTTTACAAAGTAATTTTTATCATTGTTTGGATAATGTGGGGGTTTTTATAAATTTCCAACTTTCTCCATCTTATTCATTATAGTCTTTCAGAACTCTTCCCGAGGGATATAAGGTACTAACAGATGCTCTGCCTACACGGAATAAACATTTCCAAGCCATTACATTTATATTAAAAATCTTTTTTCATCTATCTGTAAAATTTGTCTACAGCAAAGACTGCTACAGTTAAATCAACGGGGAATAGACTTGATGTGACTTTTGTCTAGAAACACTCCCTAAATATAGCAAAAGTCACTTTCGTAAAAGAAAGTTTTGGTGAGGAGACGTGCAGGGCGGAACGGATTGTCATATTAAAATACTAACACCCTGTATGTGCCAATAAGTCCTTCCCAAACATTCACTTGATGATGGGTAAACACAGCCTTAATGGCAAGTTAAAACTATTTGAGAGATTGTATTTGAAAATTGGAAACCCATTAGGTATGAATCTCATTTATGTAGAACTAGAAAAAGCAGCTATGCTACAGACGTAGCATTAGAACAAAATCCTTATCATAAATAAAATAAAAAGTCAGACTTAGTGTTTTAGAACTAAATTGATTATGCTGATTTGGGTACCTTTCCTTTCCTGTTCTGAAAACTATTTAAGTAATAAAGTTTTTAATTGCTCTATGTACCAATTAAGAGTCCTTGGCATAATGTTGGCAAGGAAATAATAAATGATTCAAACCCATAAATAAAATGAAAACACGCTAAAGTAGGAATGATAGACTGTACATACAAATGAGCGCACTGGGACCCTCCCTGCAGAAGATAGGAAAAACCTCCCCCTTTTAGTATTACCATTTTTTTTTCTGTAGCGAAGGAAAAGGCAGCGTTAGAAAACAAAAATTGCTTTTCACTTTGCCAACAAGATAAATGGAATGAAATTTCAGTGAAAATGACTGGAAGATGTGCATGATTGATGCTAAATTTACAAAAATTTCAAAGATATGGGTACAGTTTGTCACAAAAATGATGTCGAAACCTTTTTGTTTTGTCAGAAAAATTATGCAAAGAAAAAATTGCCAACGTTCCTCCTCCAGCTCTTGTCCTTGCCTGTTCTAGAATCTGTTTGCTTTCTGAAGAATAGAGACAGGAATATTTTTACTTTTAAGTAGTTTATTTTGCTAACCACTAAAAATATGTGGCAGCCATGTTTCTCTGGGAGATTTCAGGATGACAATGGGCCTACAGCTGTCCTTCACAGCATCAGAGGCGGACTAAAGGCGGAGCCACACATGAAAGCCCTTTGTAAACTTCAAAATGTCCCCCAAAATGTTCATTTTCCTTATTAGCTAAATGCGAAGTCAGATGCATTTAAATGCGGTTTGCAGGAAAGAAAATGAGATTCTAAACTCTGACTCGAAGGGAAATTAGATATCCTTAAAAGTGGGGATGGGAGATAAGAAAAACAAAATGTGCTATTACTAAGATTTATAGACCAGGCCTACACAGCCCTTATCTTTTATAAGTACCATTTTTTTTTTCCACAGGTCAGAAGAACACAGACTCTTTTCTGTCTGAATCTTCTCTGAATGCCCAGCCCTTAAAACATAGGAGATATAAACACACAGCCAATGAATGAATGAACATTCACGAATGAACCAGGTACAGGGCTGAAGTTTTTGTTTTTGTTTATTTGTTTCTTACTTGCAATAGCTTATATAATCCTTGCATTAAACATATGGAATAGGCTTGATACTCAATTTTGATAAGAACACTGAAACCTGGAATTGTACTTTCTATGCGCTAAGTACTGTTATAAGCATCTCATATAATCATATCATTTAACCTTCACTGCAGTCCTATTGGGTGAGAGCTCTATTATCCCCATTTAAAGATAGGAAAACTGACACAGAAAGAAGTAAAATTATTTGCCCAACAAAGGGTCCCTCTAAGCAGGATTCTAACCCTGCCAGTCTGACCCCAGAGACCTTGCTCTTAATATTAATATGATTCTGCTTTCCATACTGAGGGAACACAGTGAGAATGTGGTACAGACAAGATATTATATCCAACTCCACTTGGCACCCAAGTGTGATCTCTTTTCATTCCTTTTCCAGAAAAGTATTTCAAAAATTTGCCAAAACAGAGAGTTGAAGCATAAGAGTTGAAGCATCGAGAAAGTCTTGGAAAAACTGAAGTTGATAAGCCCTGCTTTGGAATCAGTTCTGCCAAAGGTAGTAAAGAGCCAAAGAGAAAGACTGCATTAACTGGAAGGAAACTCACCAGACCTAGGAGGCAGTCTTGAAGTTCATCACTCATGAGTGGATGGCATTGAACTCTTTAATGCAATTGATCTAGGACTCAGCTCCTTAAGTGAGGGAATCGAGTTAAAGAGTGAAACGAATGTTATCCAACTCGAGTTTTATACCAACGTAAGCTAGACGTATGAAGTTAGGCGATACTGTTAGATGGGGGCAGTATGATTTAATTCCTTTATAGGAATTCTTGGCAGTATTTGGAAAGTAAATAGTCCACGTCTGGTTTGGTGGGAAGAAGCGTTTGATGTTCAATCCCATTTCATTTGAAGGCTTTTCTGAAAATCAACTATAATCTTCAATTGGACCATAATGTCAGCTTCTTATATATTTTTTAAAAATACGGAGTAAAGATTATTAAAAATTCAAACATTTTGTTTTCAACTCAGATATAAGATCCTTGTTAAAGAACCAAAGAACCATGACAATGAAAGGAACTTCAGAAACACATTTAATCCAAACCTGTGTCTTTAAGCCTTGTTTCTTCTCAATCTCTTTAAACTGGCTCAAGCATGAAACCCTTCAATCAACTACAGCCTACTGAAAACTCATTGTGTAAAAATAACATTTATTAAACAATGCTATGTGTCACGTGCAGTGCTAAGCTTAACTTGGATTATCTCATTTAATCCACATAATAACCCTCAGGAAGGATGCTCTTATTATCACAGAGGAAGACACTGGAGCATAAAGGGGTGAAGCGACTACCCAAGAGCACAGAGGGTCATAATGAGGCCAAGATTGGAACTCAGTGTGTGTAACTCCAGAGCTCATGAGATTAATCCCCAAGCCACAGAGAAACTGTACCTGGTGCTATGTGAATTTCTAAAATTTTGTTATTTGGAAACAATATTAAATTTATAAAAAAAAGTTAAAAGAATAAAAATAGTAGAAGACTAGTACAAAGAACACCATTATACCCTTTACATGATTAACCTATTAAAATTTTACTCAGTTGCTTTGTCACACAATAAACAGGTAAGTAGGTAAGTAAATAAAGAGATAGGTAAGTAAATAAATGGATAGATGGGGGAGGAAGAATGGGTGCATATAAATTTATAGATGTAGATACAGATATTTATCATTTTTTATGAATCCTTAGAGAACGACCGGCATGTGTTAGCGCCCATTATCCCTATATACTTTAGTGTCTAATTCTTAAAAATAGGATATTTTCTAACATTATCAAGCTCAGTAAAACATTGACAAACGATTTTGTCAATTGGCCCAATAATGTCCTTCATGGCGTTGTTTTTCCCTCCAGTGGAAATCCAGTCTAGACTCAGGTAATGCATTTTATTATTCTATCTCTTTAGCTTACATTCATCTAAAATATTTCCAAAAACCTTCCTTTGTCTTTTATGACATTGACAAGTCTGAAGAAAACAGTCTTTTTTTTTTCCATTGGGATAATCTTCTTTTTGGATTTGTCTGATATTTCCTCATTATTAAATTTGGCTTATGAATTTCAGACTGGGGTAATACGTAAGTGATGTCACAGTTCCTTAAGTTATGACATCTAGAGGCACACGGTGTCCATCTGCCCCTCATTGGTGATGTGAATTTTGATCACCTAGTCAAGGTTTGTCTGGTTTCACCATTATATGGTTAATACTATATAGTAACTATTATATGGAAACTGAATTATTTATAATGATATATATACACACACACACATATATATATATATATCATATTCAATATAGCTATAATATTGTTACTGTTACATTGGTATTGCTTTTTCCCTTATGACTATAAACAATCTGTGGGGAAACGCATCAACACTATGCAAACATCTTACTCTTCATCAAAATTTCCCTCTGGATCAATGATTCTTGGCTGATCCAATTTTTAGCATGATAGTTGCAAATGCTAGTTATCTAACTTCACCACTTCTGTCATATTTACCTGTAGACACTTGGGATTTTACTGTAAGCAAGAGCCCTCCCTTTTTCCCATTTATTTATTTGTCTGTAGTTTTGACATGGATTTCTATTTTTCAAGAGTTTATTACTGTATTTATTTTGTTGCTCAGATTGTCTTAGATGTGGCCAGCGGGGGCTTCTTAGAGTTGTTTGTGTCCTTGTACTGCGACCCATCTTTTTGTTTTGTTTTTTTTAGCACTTTCTAACTTTGTGGAATAATAAAATAGTCTCAATGTGTCTTGTATTTACTCTGCCTCAACCCTGAAATCAGCCACTTCTTCAAGGAATTCTAATTCTTTCTTCATAAGAAATAGTATTAGAGGCCAAGATGATAGTATTATATAAGCTTTCTTTTTAATCTTTGATTATTCCTGAATGTAAAATTTCTAAAAACCTTTAGTGCTATCAGGAGTCTTATTAAACCATATATTCTTTCTCATGTGTGTGGTATTTTAGTGGGGTCTTGAAGGACTCATGGGAGGATAAGGGAAGGGGAAGTATGAAGATGCGAAAGTAATGAAGAGTTTTCTGGATCCCATTCCTGAAATTTTCAAGTGATAAACCCTCAATCCTGTACATCAAGAAGTTGCTTTTTAGAACCGTTTTGCTAAACATATTACAAAGAAATTTCATCTCCTCTGTTTTTGTTCTGTAATTTGTGCTATCATTCCCCAAAGTTTGATCAGTGGAAACTAGTTCTATAAGATCTTTTTAAAAGGCACTGTAATCAAATAAGCTTAGGCGGTGATGCTTAACAAACCCCCTATATAAATTAACAGCACACATTAGCAAGTCCTACATTAGAAAGACAACTGGTTGACTTTAACCCAATGCTGCCACATTGACCTAGTAACACCTGTTATCATGATTCAGAGCATTATTTGAAATGCAAATTTGAATATTTCAAGTGGATATTAAGTTGCCTGTAAGGCCTGTCCCCGTCTGTCTCTTTCTCTTGGTAGCCCTCTGAGCATCCTTCTATTATAGCTCTTAGTAAATTACTTTTTAACCAGTTATTAGCTTATCAAACAGCTCCATTTGAAAGAAAGGAGGGAAACTTGTTGTTCTCAAAATTCCCCACTTCTGCTACAGCACCTGGTACTTAACAGCCTTTCAAAAAAGCATCAAATTGTGGAAGAAATAGCAAATTCACTTGAAATTTTATTTTAGCTCAGAAGTTGCTCTTCCCTCACCTCTATCCCTATTCAGTGAATTGTTTCTAAATTAATTTAATCGTGGAACCACAACAGTTACTCTCCTTCATCCTTAAAGCATAGTGCCCAGCTGAAAAAGAAAGCAAAACATAACCAGGGAGTGTTGAGAGTTCATTTAACCACTGGGAGCAATGGAGTTGTAAGTGATGGGTGTGGTCTCCACCTCCATCTAGCCCAGCGGTTCTCAACCTTCCTAATGCCGCGACCCCTTAATCCAGTTCCTCATGTTGTGGTGACCCCCAACCATAAAATTGTTTTCATTGCTACTCTATAACTGTAATTTTGCTACTGTTATGAATCCTAATGTAAATATATGATATGCAGGATGTATTTTCATTGTTACAAATTGAACATAATTAAAGCATAGTGATTAATCACAAAAACAATATGTAATTATATATTGTGAAATATTTATTTCTAATTACAAATAAATGAAATTTTGTCTTGAAGTCGGGTACTCGTATGTGGGCGTATCTGCATGTGGGCGGACCCACCTGGAGATGGATAGAGGAGCGGTGTCTTGGTTCCTAAGACCATAGAAAATATGTGTTTTCCGATGGTGTTAGGCAACCCCTGTGAAAGGGTCATTCGACCCCCCCCCAAAGGGGTCGTGACCCACAGGTTGAGAACCGCTGCTCTAGTGGATGAAGACAAGTGCAAAAGAAGTGAGCAAATAAATAAAAAATTCCTCAAGGCCCTAAGGGTTTGAAGACCATAAAACAATATAATCAGATAGAACGTACAGCAAGCGAGGCTCAGACTTTGAGGATGAGACGCAGCCAACCTTATGACAATTTGGGGGCTGAGAATCTGAGAAAGAACCAGCAAGAAAGCAACTTGGAGGGCGGAGCACCAGAAGTGGCCGGTGACAACAAGCATAGGCAACACATGACTTCCTCTTGCTGCAGAATGACACTATTCTTAGCAGCATCTTGTGAGGGAGGGGTGGGATGAAGGAGTAAATGATAAAGAAAGGTCTGAGAACTGGAACAGCAATAAATAAAGGAGGCAAGTTTTTAAAGTTAAACAACTGATGATAATATACAGAATGTGAGTGAGCAACACAGAGGGAAAATTGTGTCACTACCGTAGCTGCTTATAACTTAAGTCTTCTTGCCTCCTCTTGCTTTGTTTCCTTATCTACTGGCATTGTCTTATCTTCTGTTTGTCTCCCCCCAGCCTGAGATAAAGTGGGGTCAGAGCCTCCAAGAAAAACAAGTAACCGCCAAAGGAAGACAGAAAACTAGTGAACCAGGATATGGAACAAACCAGCCAGGACTGGCCAAAACCAAGATGGTGGTGAGATTCACCTCCAAGTAAACCCCAGCCTTATTATACGATTATTATAATACATTTCCATGTGAAACAACACCCTCCCAAGACACTTCCGAGAAAGACCATATAAGGACAAAAAGGGGGGGTGTGCCCAAATTCTCTCCTCCCCCTTGTTCCATATTGACTAATAAAAACCACTGCTGTAAGCAGGCTCAGGGCTGACTCCTGTCCTAAGGCAGTCTCTACTCTGGCTCTGATGTCGACTACCTCTCTATAAACTGCCTTCACTTTATTGCTTGGCTTACACTTAAATTCTTTCCTGCATGAAGCCAGGAACCCTCCTCCTGCAACAAGCCCACCAACTGATCTCTCTCTTTTCTATTTTTGCTCTGTCGCTTACATTTGCCTTTGCTTATTCTTCCTGTGTCATAGCTTCCTCTTCAGCTTACCTTTCTCACTCATATTCATTTATTTGATAAAACCTCACCAAATCACTTCTGTAGACAATCACTCTTCCGAGTACCTGAAGATTATACGAAGATGAATTAGCTTTAGTGCTCTCTTCCCTCAAGGAACTTGTGGGCTTCTGTGAGAGGCAAATGAATGCATTATTACAATGCAGCCTGTGCTATATAAAGGTATAGACATAGATGGCTCTTCACGGCCATACCCTTTCTTCTCTCTGCCTTAAGCAATTGCAATATAGCAAGAGTCTCCTGACATTCTGCTTTTAGCTCTCTGCCCTAAAATCTATTTCACACGCTGCCTTAAAATTAATCTCCCTGAAACGCTGTTCTTGTGTATTTTGGAGTAAGACAGAAGTGGGTTCAAAGTATGTCACCCAAAAGAAAAACTAAATGCAATGTGGGATCCTGGATAAGTTCCTGGAACAGAAAAAGGACATCAGCAAAGAAACTGATGAAAGTCAGAGATCCATAAATTAGTTAATAATACTGTACCAACGTTAACTTCCTACTTGATGACTGTACTGTGGTAATGTAATATGTCAACATTAGGAGAAGCAAGATAAGAGGTCTACGGGAAACTCTCTGTATGATTTTTGCAACTTCCTATAAGTCTAATATTCATTTAAAATATTAGTTAATACCAATTAACTAATACTAGTTAATATTAGTTTTTGGGTTTATTTGTTTTAAAGAAAGAGTTCACATCATTGAAAGTGTTCAGGGACAGGGAAAAAAATAGACTATTTCTCGTGGTATTGTTCTTAATAGCAAAAAAGCATAAAACAACCCAAGTGGCAAACAGAAAAATGTCAACCAAAAAAATATTCATACAATAGAATTCAGTATAGCACTGAAAACGAGTGGACTGCAACGACACTCATCAACATAGATGGATCTCATAGACACATATAGAGCAAAAGAAGCAAAGCACAGTGGAATATATGTGGTATGAGTCCATCTATCTCAAGTCTGAGAGCCAACAAAATTAAGTAAAATACTGCTTAGAGACACATGCATGGATGGTATGTACACAAAGAAAAGAGGAATGCCAATCACAAAAGTCAGAGTGGGTTACCTCTGGTGAAGAAACATGATAAGGAAGGAGTCATGCCTTTTGCCTGGTGGGGCACACACGTGTATTTGTCTCATTATAATTCTTAAATCATACACATGCATTCTGCTATCCTTCTGAATTGCGCCTAACAATGTTAAGGAAATACATAAATTATGTATTATTCAAAAACAAATGTATTATCCCCCACTAGCAAGCTGTGTGACTCTGGGCAAGTTACTTTTCTTACTTATTTGTTACTTGCTTGGTTGTCATGAGAATTAAACGAAATTATGTATAAAACACTAAACATGAGCTCGGCCAATAGCAAACACTCAATAAATGTTAGTTTACAAAAAAAGATACACATATATACATATATATAGCTATAGATATAGATATACATATATATATATATATTATATATGTTTTAATATATAACAAAATAGTAAGAAAAATAATAATAAAGAGAGGAGAATTATCTTCTCAAGCCAGAAGTAAACCAGTTTATTATCATTATTACTACTATTGTTATTGTGGTGTTAAAGTAATAATAGCTAACATTTATTGAGCTAACACTATCTTTCAGTAGCTGTGCTAATTCTGACGTGGCCCAGGGACCTGGAGGTTTAATTTTTTAGATGTTTCTATCACAGGCGATCGCTGCACTGCGTTTGGAGAAACAGAGCTTCCAGCAGCACTGTCCCATAGAAATATGGTACAAG